TACTCATATTGTGTAGCCCATGTAGCTAGCTAAGACAAATCGTTGAACTTCATCCCTTCAAATTTCTTCCAAAGCTCGAACCCCAGTCTATTCTGCGCAATTCGTACATAGTCCATCAAGACCAACCTACATAGTTTCCTAGCCTTTTTAAACCGTGCAATATATTGTTCCGCTAATTCCCCAACCATTTGATACAATCTGGCCAAATTGGTCATGTCTACTTCCATCTCAGTGTGGTAAAACTGAGCATAAAACTTGTCTTCAAGTTGTTGCCAGCCCATCACATAATTGGGTGGCAAATCAATATACCACATGAAGGCCGCTCATGTTAGGGAATTGGAAAACAGCCTCAGCTTCTGGAATTCGTTAGCCCGACCTCATTGTATTAAATAGTGAAATTGCCACTGTATTCCATAGTCGACTGACCATCCTCACTCAAAAACATGGCAAACACCAAAACTTTGTACCCCAGTGGATATTCATATTAGCTGTCCACCAAATTGGGATAAGGTTTTCTGTATGTTGGCCTAATCACCATCCTCATCGTGAGGCCGATGTGCTCTTGAATAATTTTGTCCTGTTGGTCTCTGTTCATGTCCACCTGGGATGCTGCTAGAATGACGATCAACGACTGTCTTCTTTGCCCCCATCCCCCAAACCTCTAGGTTAGGGGCTATCTCCTCTTGAGAAAGAGGATTATTGTTTTGTTTGTGGCCATTCCTAGCCTGTTGTGCCTTATATGGTGGCACATACAGAGGAAGCACTGGTTGTGGTGTTTCCACTGGAACTGTCTGTGCAGAGGAAACAATGGTTGTCTCATGCCCCCTAGACTGCTCAGACTGTCTGTTAGCCGCTCCAACACTTGTTTGGTGCGACCGGATTCTTCTCTGATCAAATCCCTCAAGTCTTGAATAAAATCAAAAACTTGTTGGGAAACTTCATGTGATATGGCCTTGATCGAAGCCTCCAGCTTTGAGTTGGATTCGAGGTTCTCTTATCCCCCGAATGGAGGCCTCTCTTCCTGCAGGTTGGGGATGTCATGCTTGTTTTATTCCACAACTTTATGCACTAGAGGCACTTCAAATGAGCCAATTTTAGCTTTACCTCAAGTGTTTGTCATGTTGTCTCTCTAATGGTCCCACCAGGTGTGCCAAAAAATATGCTTGGCGTATTTTTAGATTGCAGGCGTGCCAAATTTCAGGTGGACTTAAAATTCAAACACATACAACCTTACCTACTTGAAGCCACGTGGGACCTTACTTGTAATGAAGTGTAAGGTTACCTCTAAGTTTTTTTCTATGCCTTATAGTTTCAAGGATTTTAAATATTTTTATCAAATAGAGACGTATAAATGACACTACAGAGAAAATAGTAGGAATGCAAAGTAGCAAGCAACTTAAATTCAAATCTAGAAGATGAAACAAATATAGAACTTAGCATTAAACGAAAACCGTAAAAGATCACCAGACTGATGCATTACAGGAGAAATAAAATTGCTCAAAAGCAAGAAACAAGTAAAAAGGTAGGTTGGCTCTGTGAAGAGTGTTTTTTTTTTTTTGATCGTGTGATCCCTATTTAGCAGCCTGATCTCTGCTCTTTATAGAGATGGCTCTTAACCATCGATCCATCTTTTCTGGCCATTGCTTGTAATCATGGCCCTATTCTTTGAGATACATGAATTTGTGTTGAACCGTTTTTAATTGGCAGCTCATGATGTCACATTTTTTCATTCCTTGGGATTTTAAGAGTCCTACTTTTCTAACCATTCTGTTAATTGTGGATTCTCATAGACTCTTTTGTGACCGTCAGAACCCTTCCACGTTTCACCATCTGATCTCGCTATTTTTGGGTGTAAACATTGCCCCCCCTCCAAAGCGATGAGACTGAATACCCCACGGGGACCTAAAATAAAAACTTAGGGTTGAGAGAGGGCTAAGAGATGAGTAAATAGGCTTTTGAATCACCTAAGAAGTATAAAAAATGAGAGAGTTATGTTAGAAAGAATGTGAGGCTGACAAATGAAGAAAGAAATGAGGGAAGTGAGATGGAGCAACACCTCTCAATGATGCATGAGGGCACATGGGAGGTCTGTTGGGGCTATGGTTGGTCTCAATCAATTCTTTATCTCTCAAGCATTCCAACAATGGGTGGGTCATCAAAATTTAAGACCATTTGCAATTGTACTCAAATTGGCCCTTGTTCCCCTTTTCGATACCGGTTTGAACCACCAACGTAATTCTTTTGACCAAAATAAAATTATTTGTATTTTTAAATAGGTCTTATGGACTTATTTTTTAATTGCCATTAAAAATTTCAAATGTTTGATTTTTGAGCTGTCCAAGCTATCCAAATCGAGACCGGGGTAGGTTATCTAGTTCTGAGATGGGCTTAGATTTTTAATTCAATTTCATATTTAATGTTATTTTATATAGTAATTTATAAATGTTATTGACTAGCATGATTGAGTATGAACACTATTGGTTGAATTTGGATCTGGTGGTGCTCTTTAGAGTGGTGAATTGTTGAACTATTGAGCTCTTGTGCTACATTTTGTGAAACTGAATAATTGGATCCTTTTTTGCAAATAGTATTGCATATTCAGGATTGAGTGACAAAGGGTTCATAAGCCAACTATTCAAATTATAGAGGCTTGGACTGAGTCTCATCGATATTGGTGGCCATTAGGCTTGGGTACCAGCAGGTAAAGGAAGATCTTCCTTAGAGCGAAATTCCCCTAAAAAGGTTTATTTGATTCATCTGGATCCTTGTGTGGCCATGACGGGATTTTGTTCTCCTCATGTGGCGTAATTATACGTACCTAGTCAGTACTGTTGATTTTAAGTATTAGTATTCAGTTTATATTTAACTGTGAATACTTGTGTTTAATTAAACATCTATTTTGATTACTGGAATGTTTGGATATATTTTATATCATTTAATGCTAAGTCCTATATTCGTTACATTTTCCAGATTTGAATTTTAGTTACTAGCTACTTTGCATTCCTACTCTACAATGTCGTTCATACGTCTCTATTTAATGAAATTATTTAAAGTATTTGAAGCTTCAACGCATTGCAAAGAATCTAGAGGTAACCTTACGCCTCGTTATAATCGCCTGAATAGTCACGATTTTAGAGCCCCACATTGATTTGAGTAGGTAAAGTTGTACGTGTTTGAATTTGAAGTCAACTTGGACTTTGACACGCCCACAATCAAAAAATATGCCAAACAATAGCGTATTTGTGATTGAACCTAGAATTCTAGTAGATCACATTGGCTTCGTGCTCGTTTGGACCTCAAGCGACTGCAGCGTATAAGATTGGTGAAGATTCCTATTCAATTGATTTTGCCTATAAATATAAAAGCCCTAGAAATTTTCAGAGTTTCTTTTTAGATCTTTTTGATATTTTTTTCAAAGTAAAAAGAAGTTATTGATTCTTGTGAAAAATATTTCAACTTGTTGAAAGCTTGTGAGTTTTTGATTAAAACCCTAGTGCTCTCTTTTTCCTAGAAGATTGTTTGGTTGTCCTTAATCTCGAGAGATCTATTGCCTACATTAGAGCTCATTCCTCGAGAATATCCATTTTAGATTGATAACAACGCCTCAGAGTTGATAGTTTCTCCAAAACGAAAAAGAGTTCGAGTTTGACTTGATTGCAGTGGAGGAAGTTCAAGTTTGTGGACTAAACAAGTTAGAAACGTTCTAGGGAGAGCACGATCTGAACCCAAACTAGAGAGAGTCGATGTTCTACAAGTTGAATTGATGAGAGTAAGAAGAGCAGAAGACAAGAGGACAACTTACATCTAGTGTGGCTAAAGACTATAAGTGTTTGTGTCTATACTATTGATTTCAATAGTGGAGGGTTTAGACTAGACATGGTCTTTCAATTTTTCCTATGAGGTTTTTCACGTAAATATCGTGTGCCTTGATTTCATTTTGTGTGATTGATTGTTTGATTGCTTCAAATATACTAAATCGATATATCACAATATATTGGTCACAGGTGCATTAACCAATTCGTATTGGGTAATGACGTATGATATGTATTGATTAGCATTGTTGATTATTTGATTGAGCATTGTTTATATCAACATTAGCGATTGAGAGGGAGGCAATAAATCACATAATTTTAATTGGCAGTTAATTCCGCAAAGCTATATTCACCTCCTCAAGATCTTAGTTTAGGGTATGATAGACAATCTATCTGCGATTCTCCAATTAGAATCATAATATCCAATCCAAGGAAAATCTTACATCGGACAAATATGAACGACCAATTTCTTTCCAATTTTTTGAATTCATTTCAAATTCCAACCTTTTTTCTGCTTTGGCGAATGTCTCAATCCAATTTAAAAATTTTGTTTAAAAGTAGATTTAATCGTACAATACATTTTATTTTTCTGTCCACATCCAAGCCAATTAAAAATAGATACCCAATCAAAGAATTTGTTATATTAAAAATTAATTTTAATAAATTATATAATAATTTCATCAAATAAATTCTCAATCTTATTATTTTTCATATATATACATGTAGACAATTCGGGTTAAATTATAATTAAACTAAAAACTAATATATCTAAATCATTATTTTTTTCGGTAAGTAATATATCTAAATTTAAATACTTCAAACACAACAAACCTAAATTGACATATGGATGACGCCCCCTCCGTAGGCCGTCACGTGATGGATAGGACTGGCACGTGATCCGGTGAGGAACCGCAGGTTTTGCGCGGAGGCTTTGGCCGAAAGACAGATGCGTCTCATTTCACGTGGGTCAGTCATGTGAAGACAAATCCCCACCAGTACCAGTACCAGTACCACTACCGCTCCCCATCACTGTATAATCACCTTCCCTCTCCATCTTCATCCCAACGTCACTCTCTGTCCTTCCAAAAACAAGAAAAGACCTTTCCAGATTCTCAACAAGAATCGATCGATTGAAAAAATATAAGCAACCAACTACTTAGATTTATCAAGTGAGAGAGTGAAATTTTCATGGCTGGAAACTGTGGTGGCACCACCATCCATGACCTCCCTGATGTGATCCTCTGCAACGTTATCGCCGCCGTGTCAGACGTGCGCACCCGCAACGCCGCCGCCTTGATCTGCCGGAAATGGCTTCTCGTGGAGCGATCCACACGCACCTCCATCACCCTCCGTGGTAACATCCGCAATCTTTTTATGATTTCTAACTGTTTCCGATCAGTGATCCATCTCGACATCTCTCTTATCTCTCCTTGGGGTCACTCTCTTCCCTCCTCCGTCGCTTCCGACCCCACCCTCATCGCCCTCCTCCTCAGGCAAGCTTTCCCTTCCGTCACATCGCTTACGGTCTACGCTCGAAACCCATCGACGCTCCAACTTTTAGCTCCTCAATGGCCACATCTAAAGCAAATCAAGATGGTCCGTTGGCACCAGAGGCCTCAATTGCCACCTGGATCAGACTTTGAACCTCTGTTTGAGAGCTGCCAAGACCTCCATTCACTGGACCTGTCCAGTTTCTATTGCTGGACCGATGATATACCTCCAGCTCTCGGATCATACCCACATGTGGCAACGAAGCTCAGACGGCTCAATCTCTTGAACCCCTCTTTCCCCGAGGGTTTCAAAGCACAAGAGCTTGAGGATATCACCAGAGCTTGTCCAAATCTTGAAGAATTCATAGCGGCTTGTATGTTTGATCCTCGGTACAATGGCTTTGTTGGCGATCAAACTTTGCTCTCTATGGTTGCTAATTGCCCCAAGCTCTCTGTTCTTCATTTAGCAGATACACCCTCTTTGTTAAATACTAGAGGTGACCCCAATGATGAAGGTTTCACTCATGAGGACGCAAGAATCAGTATTCCAACTTTGATTGAGGTTTTCTCTGGTCTTCGTTTACTGGAAGAGCTTGCTCTAGATGTTTGTAATAATGTCAGAGAGAGTGGTCCGGCATTAGAAGTACTAAATATGAAATGTCCCAAGTTGAGGTCTCTTAAGTTGGGGCAGTTTCATGGGATATGTATGCCAATTGAATCGAGACTGGATGGTGTTGCTCTTTGTCAAGGGCTTGAATCTTTGTCAATTAGGAATGTGGGCGACTTGACGGATATGGGGTTGATAGCTATTGCTAGGGGGTGTTCGAGATTGGCAAAGTTTGAAGTTCAGGGTTGTAAGAAGATTACAGTGACGGGAATGAGGACTTTGGCTTGTTTGCTTCGCAAGACTTTGGTTGATGTTAAGATTTCTTGCTGCAAGAATCTCGGTGCAGTCACGTCGTTGAAGGCATTGGAGCCAATCCAGGACAGGATCCAGCGACTTCACATTGATTGTGTTTGGGATAGCGTTGAGCAATTTGAGAATTTAGATGGGGTTGAATACAATTTTGATCTCAATAAATTGGATGAGGGTGGGGTGTCGAATCAGGCCGTTGGATTTACAAACTTCTTTCGAAGCACAGACCATGATGACATGTGCAGCAAGAAGAAAAAATGCAAGTACTCTTATGATCTGAATTGTTCTGATATGCAAATTGGCGAGGGTGGCAATGGATTTTATGGAAAGGTATGGGACAGGTTACAGTACCTCTCGCTATGGATTGCAGTAGGTGAGCTTTTGACACCACTTGCTGCAGCAGGACTTGCAAATTGTCCCAATTTGGAGGAGATACGAATTAAGGTTGAAGGAGACTGTAGGGAGTGGTCAAGGCCCTCACAGCATGCGTTCGGACTGAGCTCCTTGGTGCGCTACCCTCGGTTGTCGAAGATGATTTTGGATTGTGGCGATACATTAGGTTATGCACACACTGCACCATTTGGGCAAATGGATTTGAGCCTTTGGGAACGGTTTTATCTATTTGATATTGGGACTCTGAGCCTCAGTGAACTTGACTATTGGCCGCCACAGGATCGGGATGTGAACCAGAGGAGTCTCTCCCTTCCAGCTGTCGCATTGCTTCAGGAATCTCTTACTCTGAGGAAACTGTTTATCCATGGAACGGCTCACGAGCATTTTTTGATGTTCCTACCGAAAATCCCAAACCTGCGGGATGTTCAACTGAGAGAAGATTACTACCCAGCGCCAGAGAATGATATGAGTACAGAGATGAGAGCGGACTCATGCAGTCGCTTTGAAGATGCACTGAATAGGCGACAGATAGATGATTGAAACTAGCGGAAACTCAATGCTGGTGAACATTTACAATTTGTGAGAATTGTGATCACATCCCAATTTTGTGACTGTTGTATTGTCGTAATATATTGCAAAGTGCTACAAAGTAATTTAAATTCCGAGCATTACAAGGGAAATGAAAACCATCCTCCATGGTTTTAGACCAGAAGTGGACTTTGCTTTTGATTGCACAAAAAAGACTGATGTTTTGCCATTTGAAACTGAAGATGAAGCAGTACTTGTTTTCTAGAACTGGAAAAATCAAAGGAAAAATGTTTACAACTTGCGCCGAGAACACATTGTAACACCTCTACTAAGGTTTTTTTTTTTTTTGGGTATATCCACTCTATTCTATTTTCAATACGGTAAACAGATTGAATTAGCAGAGCGAATACTCGCAGTCCAGCAAGCGAGCAAGAATGTCCTCACAGCTAGGTCGTTCATTCGGTTCTGCCCAACAATCTGCAACCAAGAGATTAAAAGGCATGAGCTACTTCGACATTTTTCAAATAAGCGAAGAATGATGATACACGAAGTTAGTAGTTAATTGTTCTCTCTGTAAAATACCTGCAATTAGCCTGCCTAGGGGACCTTCCGGAATCTCCAATTGCGACCCCTCATTGGCTACAGTATACACTACCTGTACAGCGAAAATCAAACGCCCAGACTAAGTGACAATATTTGTGCACTAAGCAGAAAAAAATAACTATGAAAGCAGCCAAAGATTGAAAAAGGAAACTATATACAATCATAATCACAGCATACCCGCTCTGGTGGTGTGCCATCCCATGGTCTATTTAAAGTGTAGAGCTCCCACATTATGACCCCAAGACTGAAAATATCACATTTCTCTGTGAATGGTTCATTGCGGATCAGTTCAGGAGCCATCCATTCTGGAGTCCCTGCCGATGAGGAGTCTTTCATCGGTCCATTTGTCATCATTCTTGAGAGCCCAAAATCGCAGATCTTGACCTTCAAGTGCTTATTCACAAGGCAATTTGCACTTTTTAGATCGCGATGAACTATCTTCATCCGGTGTATGCACATCAGCCCTCTTAGTTGCCAGCAAAAAACAAGTCAATTGATAGTCAAAATTTTTCTAACTATAATACTTAAATTATACATTGCTCTTGACATTTCTAATCGTTAGGTTCTTCAGAAAACTACTGCTTAGCCATCATCAACCAAAAAAGAAAGAGCCAACTCAAAAAAATCAAACTATTTAACCTTTGTTCACCATCATGGAATCTCGAATAAATCCAAATCTAATATTAACGCCACGTAATATAACCACAACCGTCCACCAGGGGTTTGCATTACTTGTATTCTCATTCTTGGTGCCAAATAAGTATTAGGTGCTACTAGAGCAATTACATCTTCTTAAAACAAAAAGTACAACTCCATAAACAGCACTTGCTGTAGAACCAATTAATGCTTCTATGGCAGTTAGCACCAGGCTTCACAACTTTCCGATTACCAAAAACAAAAGAACCATCTAAGTGGAACTGTGAAGTCTACTTGCAACAAAAATGTCAAGGAATAGATAAAAGATCAATTACCAACCAATATAGCTGTGTTTCCACTCTATTAGGGAAAGGGCTACCTTTCAAATTTCCCTGCGGTTACTACCTAGAGTTGCAACCAAACCAAGTCAAACACTGTGATGTTCAATCATCAATTAATATATTACACGACTTTGAGCAGATATCGAACACTAACTTGAGCTTGACTATGTTTAATTAATTTGTATTCTATTGAACACGGGCATCACATCTTAGGCTATGAAAACAATTTCATGTTAGAATCTAGTTGCTCTGACTATGGACATAGATTTATATTTTCTACAACTACATATTGAATGGCCCTGCAATAGATCTAGTTCACTGTTTAGCTAGAACCACACTTCTCAAGATGATAACCACAGTTAATATATCTGGGAAAATAATTCTTGCTTTATTTGTTTTCTTTACAAAGCAGTTTTGAATACCACCTACTTAGGGTTGAGAAGGCTCACGAATCACATAAATGGATACATTTGCAGTAATTATTTGATAGTCATGAAAAACCTATAAATTATGAAGAAAACAAATAGAGCAAATAGAATGTGTGGGTATGAACCCTACCACTTTGATAAACTAATATTGTTATTTGATACATAAGTTCAAGCTTGATTAACCCCATCGCTGAAGAGCTTGAGCAAGTTTTCCAGGACTTAAGCCACACTATTTATAGCTCAGTTCACCATTGGCTAATCTACAATCCACAAAGGTCCACGATGCAAAAAAGTATATTCATGGTGGAGAACAGTTCTAGAGAAATTGGAATAAAGTGGTCATCGGTCAGTACCAAAGTAAGCTCAAACTAAATTGTTCCTGTTAATTCATCCTACTACAAGAACTGGATGCAATAACTCATGGACTCAAAATGTCTTCTGAGGAATCCCAACTAGAGCTGCTTCCCCCAAACCCCTTTTAATTGGTCTGAAAAACCATAGATTTTAAGTTGGTTTAACAGAAACATGAAACTTCAACAATCACTTTATTTATTACTCAATGGAAAAGGTGATAAGCATATGTAATATTTTCACCATTTGTAAGCTTAACACTTGTACCATATATTTTCCGAAAGAGCAAAATCCACTGTAAACGTACTGATCTCTTCCTACCATAAATCCGTATCTCTTTGCAGTTCAACGGCTTTGGTGATTGGAAACCTCAACATATAATATGTTGCTTCCACCAGATGCTTACCATCTTTTGTTTCAACAGATTCAAATCCATTAAGCATTGCATTTCAATCTTTCTTCAAACAACTTGAGGCAAAATAAAGACTTATCTGTTCATTTTTCTCCATTGAGGACCCCTGCATCCATCAAAACCGATATCATGGGGTCTGACTACAACACCACATCCCTTGACCTCTTTGGCCTTTCCCAGTCCTTGATCACCTTCAAGTCATAGCATATAGCTGATTCTTGCTTTTGCAATCATTAGCTTTTGCATAGTGTTTGTTTTAACCATAACTTACTTACACCACCATTGGATGTTCCATGTAAAATTTAGACACTCCCTGGCCAGAAGTTAATACATATACAATATTCTCCTTTCATCTGTACTCATGACCAAACTAGGTACCTATAGTACTTACTGTCTGTCATAGAAATGTGAATAAAACTTGAAACATAATAGCACAGCCTACCATATAGCTTTGTGTTCAAGCAAAGTCTCCTCCCAGATAACGTCATTCTCTATTATTACTTATTGGAGAACTTAAACATGATAGTACTACCAGCAAAGCATAAAGCAGCAAATGCAGAAGGAACAAAAGCCGACATTAGGCCACAGGCAAAGATAAAAATGGAAACAAGACCAAACATAGTCTAAATCCTCAAATATAAATATGAACTTGTATGGAAATAAAATATCCTATAGTCTAGCGTAACAATTAAGCACCAAGATTGATAGTGGCAATTTATTTCTTTTTCTTTTTTGTTTTTTCCCTGTGGATTACCTACAAATTCCACCAACCTGCATATATCACGCAGCATCTTAATTCTCCTCCGCCAGCTGAGTTTCTTTTTTTGACCACTTATGTGGATCAGATAATACAATGATCCCATCTCCATGTATTCGGTAACCATTGACAAACGTGGAGGCTTTGTGCATGCACCAAGAAATAGTATAACTGTAAGAAATAGAATCATCAGTTGGGTCAGCAACACTAGTAGCAAAGAAAACTTGCAGCAGGTTCTGCTGAATACTTGAATCAGAGTTTTCTTCCTCTTCCTATTTGTACAACCATATAAAAAAGGGAATCTGCAGTTTTTACTGAAACCTCATTCGCTACTTTTCCTCTTATTCTTCATTTTTACACAAATTGAAATGCAGCAATCTTTTGTGAGACACAGGCTAGCTATGAAGGATATAACTTTCCTAAGTGAAGAGAAGTACCATTTGGGTGTCGAAGCCGACTGGTAGGAGACGAGAAAAATGTCACCAAGAGAAAAAAAAGTTAATGTTAGATAAATATATAACTAGCCAACAAACTATGAATATTATTCCATCAGAGAAGATACCTAAGAATGGCAATCTCATTACAAAAATCCTCCATATTTTCAGCAGTCAGATCTTGCTCCAAAAAAACCTTGATGGCTACATCTGTTCCATTCCAAATTCCACGAAAAACTTCTCCAAAAAATCCTAGAATTATAACCATTTTAATTGATCATAATCAGGATAAAAATTTAAGATTTGCACATGACAAATATTATTAGAAGTAAATGGAACCAAACAAATATTATAGCATGAAACAACTTAAAAATGGAAAGCTTAGTACTTTTATTTTTTACAGATTCACTATTATTCGTCTCTCTACAAGGCATTTGTCATCCCTTAGTAAAAATGGTAAAAATATTTTCAATCGTAAAAGAGTCTACCCATAGATACCAGGATCATAAATAACCCTCGCGTCCCACATACCAGGGGCGCATGAACCGAAAGTTCAAGATTTAAATCGCTCCAGGTCCCGTCCACAAATTATAACCCAAATCGAAAATTGACTCACGATCTAAGTAATCTCACAATATAGCCCCAACCCCAAATCATAAACCTAGCTTGTTATTTCTTTATATTGATGTTCTTTAAACTCATATTCCAACAACACTTATCATAATACAAAATAAAATGTGTTACCTACGTGTATATGGATGTATTATTTTATATAAAAGTTACAAAACAAACCATGTCCCAAAACAGCATACCAACTAAATCTACCCCGATTATACCACGAATTGGAAGAAGCATCGTACAGCATACCACAGAAAATCGATCCACGATAAAGGTAAATCTACCCTTATATTAGCTTTTTGTGGAAAAGTATTTATATGACCAAATTTGATCAGCAAAACAATTATTTCTCTAACACATTGTTCTAGATTTTTAACCTTCCGTGAAGAGAACCGTATTTGAGAGCACAAACAAAGGGTGCAATATTGATTCAATCTGCAACATTGCTCCAAAGGGTGGAGGTTTCGTAACATTGAGAAAAACATATTTCGTGTGTTGTCTTTCACCTTGAGTGATTTTGAGAGAAATTTATAAAGAGCCCAATCTGGTGCTTCTGGTAAAAAGCTTTGCCTATAGAATAGTTAACAAAGGATGAAGAAAAGATCCACAATCTCACTGCATGGTTCAGAAGTCAGATGTATTTCTGAGAAATGCACCTCTGGTGTCTTTTAATCGGAGATTTTCTTTCGCCTCCACCCTTTGTGATCATGGAGCAAATCAAAATCTTGAAAAGAAAAAGGAGGATCTCAACCTCCTCAATTGCCTTGACACGGCCAAAAGCAAAGGCACGATTTACTTCAAGGACAAACTTGAAGAAATATGCTTAAGCAAACTTACTCTGATACACTGAAATCTGATCTCAGAAAGGAGAATGACATCTAGACATCACCAAATAATTATCATGATTTATGAGGAATGTGACGTTCCAAGAAACATTTGGAAACAGTGGCTAAATAATACGTGAACCATGAACCACAAGGAAGCGAAACCAATTAAAACAGCAACGTCCCACATTTTTTTTTACCAAAATTCTCCCCATAAACAAATTTTACACATCAAACTAAGAGATTTTTTCCAACCTTGGCTAGGCAGCCAACTTTAGCATCTGGTGTGACATTATAGCATTTAAGCCAACATACCAAAAAAGCATTGGAGATAAAAGTATATGCTTCTAAGAAGAATAAATACTTACCAATCCCAACACGAGTACCAACAGCTAATTCCGAGTAATCGATATTCCATTCACGGTAAGGTAACAGAGGCTTATTTTGGAACATGGATGACTCCAGAATTTTGTTCCATGTTGAGACCATTTCATCATTTACCATATAGTCTGAAGTCCCAACTTTCTCAGAAGTTTGACTCCTAAATTCATGAGGAGATGAAGGCAACGATACTGCCTTTTGAGAACTCATATGCTCCCTAGAACGAGCATATAAAGAAGACTGTCCACCAGATGTTTCGCCATGATCATCAAGGCGAAATTCAGATACCTGTTTAGTTCACCAAGTTACTAACAATTCCAAAAAAAGCAAGATATCTTAACATTTTCAATTCCTTGTCCCAAAAAATAGTCTAGGTATTGAAACACTTTAAATTCCTTATTCAAAAAACATGCTATAGATAGAAAAATATAGTTAATGATCAGAATTCCACTGATTTCCAAACAATTTAAGGTATTTTGCAACCTTTTTCAAACATTTTATGCATTGTAAACAAGTACAACAATCACCAGAGAAACTAAGCCTATGCACCACAAAAGCAATCAAATTAACCACGTACAACAATCATCAGAGAAAACCAGTTAACAGAAGTGCATATGTCTTCATCAAACTTGAAAAATTACATGTTATGCAAAACAAAAATGAAAGAAGATAAAGGTAATGATTAAATGCAATTAAGTCATAAGCTTCCTTCCTTGGCTGGTTTTTTATCTGAAATATTAGTCAAAAACCATCTTCTCTTTTGGACTTAATGGCATAAACAATATGAAGAGGACATTAGAATGCTCAGAAGGTAGGGTAATTGGAGAATCACCTTGTTCTCATGGTTCATGTATGGCAATCAGGTCATTGGGGAAGTAGATAATAAAAAAAAAAGAACAAAAAGGATGAGACAAATAGCACCTACACAAGGGCCATCTTGGAGGTATGACTGCAAGTCGAAGTTTGGGTTGACATCATGCAAATATCAGAAATTGAACAGGCGCTGATAGCCAACCAATCAAATTCAACTTCACAGACGCAATGCTATATTGGATGACATATGGTATTGTCAGGATTATTGGATTAGGTAGAAACATTTTATGCGAGTCCACAATCATAAGATAGGCCATCAATGAATGAAGAATTGGAAAGGACGCTACTAAAAAGACTAAGGAAAAGGTAAAGTCACTCCCCTCCCCCAAATAAAGTCAATTGCAGTTGAGCTTTCACTTAGGAAATTTATATTCTAGCAACAATTATTTTCAACTTCTCAGGACATTTTGAAGCAGAAATTATGGTGATCCATTGAACCTAAGGTAAGCACGAAGCCATTTGTCAAGCTAAACAGTCAAGCTCGCCCCTAATAAAGAAGCCAGAGCCATTTTTAGAACATATAAAGTTACTAATCCTATGTCACATGATAGTCTATGAAAACAATATATATGGTAACATGAACATGATTCTCTCTAAACTTACATATAGCAAGTTCAAAAGATTACTAAAGATCACTAACTGAACAAGTGGACAGAAACATCATCACATGTGCCCGTGATCTTATTAAAGGAGAACCAATGAGACCCAGGCCTGCCATAATTTCTTCAAGCATAAGGTGGGCATAGACAAAAACAAATACTGCTTGTCCTTTTTTCTTTTTCAACTGCATGAACGAAGCAACATGAGAAAAGAGGAGAAAAAAAAAAAGAGATAAGGAGATGATAGAACATAGGATAGCGATGCAGCACACTTCCAAGCCTGCCAAACATAGGGTAGAAGAAGTGGGATACAGGAGAATGTGATAGAATAAAGAATCTGGGGGGAAGGGCATGTCCATGGCTTCCAGGCCTCTCACTAATTACTGAAAAGAGCAATAGTCAGATAGATAAAAGGGAACAAGAAGAAAAGGAAAGAAAAAGCAGAAAAGTGAGAGGAGAAAAAGAGGGCAAGAGAAACCACTGAAACATCTTAGAAAATGAGCATATACAAGAGATGTTAAACAAAGTTCTAAGTCATAACACAAACAACAACAACAACAATAATAATATATACAAAGGATCCTTCCTTGAAAGAAAATAAGACTAATATTTTCCAGTTAATGAACCTAGAGGAAGATAAGGGGTTCAGTTCATAAGATGAAGCCAGTTTAAAGTTTATAGTAGTTGGATCCTCATCTTCTCCTGCTTGATACCTCTCCGATTATCATCCTAACCTGTTCCAGTATCAATCGAGGAAACAAAGAAACTCTATTTCACAATATGACAGTATTCAGAGACAGCTTATAGCCCTAGAACAAATAACCTGTAATAACACATTCTACAAGATGGAAATCATCATGGGTGATTAGCACCAAAGAAAATCTTAGCTTATGCACATCATGTTGCTAACAAAATAATATTTAACCATAATCAAAATCACTATCTGGAATCAAATGCCCCAGAAGAAGAAAGTTTAAAGTATTTATCTAGATGGTAATTGATGAAGTTAATGTACATTTCTCTGATGATCTGGATGACTCTTTCCATCATTTGAAGAGGAGGGATATGAACTATTATCTCCAGGTTCTCTCAAGAGACGGTTTTGCTTCAATGTTTCATTCATTGCTCGTACAGCCCTACAGTCATTTGAAAAAAAAAAAAGAATTGTAAGTCGTGAGCCATATATTATGACGGGAACAATATTTAAACAAATAAAACTAGGAAATGTTAAAGCGAACACTAATGATATTACTATTAAATGACTAGTCATGATAGGGGAAGCGGCATAGATTTAATCCAGCTATGTTGGCCAACATGAGGTCAAGCCTGTTGATATGCCAACCTTTCACTTTCCAACTTCTGCCTTAAGAACCAGACGAGAAATTTCAACTGGTTGAATCGTCATTCACATCGCAACTCAGTAAATTATTTAATGTTTGGGCTGATTTGAAAACAAACTGATGCAAAAAATAAATTAGGTAATTTGATGTGAACCACCCCCCCTCCCCCCCCAAAAAAAAATAATAATAAATAAATAAGTTGATGTGAAACCAAAAGAACCCGTGCTCAGGATAAGTATAGCAAGACAAAAAGAATTGGGAAAGAAGAGACAACAGAGAAAAGGAAAAAGTGACCGTCTATTTAAAAAAAATTCTCACAAGATCCTACAAGTAAAGAAAAATATGTCTGAAATGAAAGTATCAAATGCTGATCTAATTTTCATCTATGGATTGATTACATCGAGTACGTGCTTCGAGCAAGTGCCGACTCATAACGAACATTTCTGCTTCTCTAGCACCCAAGGGTCAGCATATTCTCAGGTCTTGTTTGTTTCTTTATTTTGCCTATCATCATATGACATCCACCCATTCTGTCCTTGGCCAGTAAACCAATGAAAATGTAATTTTTCCTAGTTTGGCACATAATTACCAGAATTCACTAAACCCGTGACGACCCACGATCTAGGTACATCGATTCCAAACAGGGTGGGTTCGCAATCCAGATCACCAAAATATACAACCCCAAATTGTAATACTAACCTTAATTTAATTCGCATTCGAATATGCAGCACAAATATAAAATATATATTAATTGACTATATGTACTTAGATTTATAATTATATATTATTTTAGATAATAAAAAATCAAGCACAAATATAAGATAAATAGTAATTGACTTGGTGTTTATGAATATTCTATAACATATAATGTTATATAGTAGTGAAAACAATCTAAATAAGAGTTTTAAAACGAATTGCGACCCAAAATAACATACTGGCTAAGTCTGCCCCCGTCGTACCGCGTACCTAAGAAAGTATAGTACCGCGTACCCATACCCGTATTGTGTACCGAAGCGACTTACGATCTAGGTAACCTTGGTTTGGCTTTCACGTCTTCTTGTATTTCATTGTCATCCTCACTACTTAATTTCATTCTATCAATAACTTTTCCTATTCTTGCGATGTTACATGCCATAAATAGTCCTTAAGATTTGTCTACTGTCACGTGCTAATGCACTTCACATTTATATTCTTGCGGTGTTTCATAATGACCTACTTGTTGATAACACTTGCGCTTTTAAATTGATGTTTTGTTCTGCCCATGACTAGTAAAGTAGTTTGCAATTGGCCATAACTTTATTTAAAAATAACTTCATGGATCAATTAAATTAAGAAGAAACCAATATTTTAGGCCCAGATTCATTCATGCAACACTAAGAAACTGCAACTCTCAACTAATCCTCATGAAATTTTCAGCTAGCCTTCCCCGTACTAATAGGACGCTAGTCTAAACCCATCAGCTTTATCCTCTCAAAATCTTATGCTCAATAGAGCAAAAAAAAAAAAAAAAGCTAATCATTTCTTCCTAAGAATGCCCCTCATCCTCAATTACACACCATCTCCAATCTTCGACTTATGAATCCTGTAATTCCTTCTCCTCAAATTAACCACCCTACAATGCAATCTAGTGTTATTACCATTTTCTTTGACCCATCTGACCTTAGCATTGTGCATCGATTCTTTGAATACAAACTCCTCAATTTTGTTTCTAAGCCTCCGTTTGTTCTTTAATTGTTCTTCGATTCTTTGACCCATCTGACCTTAGCCTTGTGCATCGATTCTTGAATACAACCTCCTCAATTTTGTTTCTAAGCCTCCATTTGTTCTTTAATTGTTCTTCGATCTCTAAGTTGCTCAGCTCCCCAATACAACTTAAATAGATAAAGTCTTCAAAAAAAATGATCTATAGGACCAAGTAGCTATTCCTGAAGGAAAAAGAGTGGTTGTGTCTAACTGGGCATTTATTCTAAAAGCATAAGACAGATGGATAATGGAGAGGTATAAAACTAAATTACTAACCAAGGGATTCACTCAAACCTATGGCATCAACTATTAAGAAACTTTTGCACCCAATGGCAAAAATGAATTCCAAAGGAGAGTCAATCTCCTAGTAGCAAATTTGGAATGTTCCCTTTAGCAACTAGATGTGAAAAATGCCTTCGTCCATGGTGATTTAGAGGAGAAATTGTATATGGATGATCCTTTCAATTTTCCATCTCTAGAAGGGAATATCGATAATTGAAGAACACTTGTGTGGCTTGAAACAATCTCTTAGAACTTGGTTCGAGGGATTAAGTTGAGTTACACACCAGGATATAAACAAAGGAGGGTTGATCACACTCTCGTGATCATACACAAATACGGGAATATTATTGTGCTTATAGTCTATGCATATGATATTGTCATAATTGGGATGATACTAAAAAGGTGCACACTTGAAATTATCGTTGTCCAAGGAATTCGAGAAAGAAACTAAGTAATTTGAAATATTTTCGTGGGATAGAAATTGCAAAAGCAGATAATTGGAAGTATGTTTTAGAATTGCACAAGGAGAATTGAGTACTTGGCTACAAGCCTTGTTATACAATTTTGTCTCCTTTTAGGGGGAGAGAGAGGGAGAGAGAGCATCACTCGATCAAATTTACAAATAGAGAGAGAAAAAGAGAGCGAAGGGAGAAAGAGAGGATCTGCAACGACTAGGAAATAAAAAATATATAAAGCCCGTAAAGATAGTCACCCCAAAAGTTAAGTAATTTGGATTGTACTTCATAGAAAGGTAAAATGTTTTTGCCTAGAGTGTAGACATTAGACATGATTAACTAATTGAATACTTGAGCATCACAAAGAAACTACACACCCAAGCATACAATGACAATCCAATTACAACAAAGGAGAATACCATCAAAGTAGCTCCAATCATGCACATCACAATCTAATCAGTAGTCAACACATTCCCCTAGAAGAGGGAGGGGAAGAGCGTAAAAGGAGGGGAAGATCATGGAGGGTAGGCTGTTGCATTTTGAGAACTTGTAGGAAGAGCAAATTATTGATATTGGAATTCTTGTTATCTGTATGAGCTTTACAGGGTCTAAACTAAAGATTTTGCTGACACAGTTCAAGAACCATGCTTGCAGAGTAAACTACCAAAACAACCCCTAAACTATACAACATGTTTCAATTAATCACTCAAACTTTAATTTGTCTCGATTAAGCCCTCAAACTTTTGAATTTGATAAATTTAATTAACCATTTTTGTCCAATATAAGAAGTTCTTATAATGGATTAGGTACATGCGTCATTCACATGATTGATCAAGAGTGATATTTTACTTGGGTGATAAAAAAATCCACAATGCCCAAACGCAAGCACTCTCAATCCCACACAACCCAATATACCCCTTTACTTTTTCTTCCTTTCTCATTAAGTCATTATATAAACCAAACCGTAACCCATAACCTACCACCCCCAACCAACCCCACCCCTCTCCCTGAAATCCTTCATCCCTCTTTCCCATAACCCTAATTCTCCTCTCTCTCTATCACACACAAAAAAAAAACATGCACACAAAATACAATTATCTGAGATGGTTGAATAGGGGGGTGAATTTGATACAAAGCAGTGAGTTATTTGTTTGATTTCGTGGTGGAGAATGACTGAATGCTAGGGTGGGTGATTCTGACCACCGGGGGGGTTTGCAATTGCATAAAAGGGTGGTGGTTAGCAGTCCTAGTGGTTCTATAATGGGGTAAGTATGATTGGCATGGTACTACACTAGGGTAAAGGTGATGGTTATAGTTGGGGTGGTTTTGCAACAAGGCATGGGTTGTTTTGTGAGCTTGGTGTTTTATTTCGCATGGTGGAGGTTGACGGGGGTGGTGAAGGGAGTGGAAATGAACAAAAAGATGAAAGGGAAGGAGAGCAAAAACTAGTAGTGTTGTGTTTGCCAGTGTTATTTAAGGCGTAAAGCGAACCGAAGCGACCAAGGCTCCTAACGCCTAGGCGAGAAGCGAGAAGCGAGAAGCGAAGCGACACGCTTTACCGAAGCAAAGCGAACAGTTAAAAAAAATATATATTTTAGTTTATTAACTTCTAAACGATCTAAGTTCTAATTTTATATATACTAAATATTTAAATGCAAGTAAAACCATAAACATTTAAATTAAAAAAAAACACTAATAATATCTCAAATCTTAATAACAGTCATAACTTAAACATTTAAATTCAAACAAATACTAACAATTGTATACATTTTCATATTGACAAGGTAGGACAACAAAAGAAGCAGAATCAGGACAACAGCAGAATTAGCAACAAAAAAAAAAAAAAAGCAGAATGACAATTAAAAAAAACAAAAGCAACACAGGACAGGAAAATCGAAGCAGCAACAGAATCAACAAAAAAAAAATAGAAGCAGAATGAGCTAAAAAAAAAAACAGAAGCACAATGATCATGACAGGAGCAGAATCAATTGCAAACAATTTCATATGTAATTATATACTGAATAAAAAAAAGCAGAACAGAGGCACATTTCACATGTACTAAAATAATTAAACATGGTATAAACATAAACCACTTTTTGGTACCATTCGTATATATATAAGAAAAGAGAAAAGTATAACCAAGACATATCAGAGACACTTCTTTGTAGAAGAATTTATTATTTACCCCCATTTCTGATACTCCTGCTTTATTTTTTTATCATAATTGTCATGCAGTGTAGTCGCCTGACTCCCACATCCCACAAATATTCTAAATGAATTCAGCAACACAAGGAAAAAAAAGG